AACCTGAATGTTGTATGTCTTCAGAACTAAACTTGAGATATATCAGAACGATGTAGTTAAGCGTTTATGGCGTGAAAAAGAGTTAAACTGGCATTATCCCTGCCTGCGGCACAGCGGGAAGGATTATTATATTATGGAATGATGAATGAATGAAATGTATAGAGGTAACCAAGGGCAATGTCACTCTCTCTTGCCTGTTTAAAAACTGCCAGGATGGGGAAGAATGGTTCTTCACCAGCGTTTACTACCGCGGTACCAAGGAGGAGAAGGAGTTGTTTTGGAGAGAACTAGGAGATATTAGGAGGAAAGGGGGGCAAAACGGGATTGCTGGTGGGGACTTCAACATGGTTATCTATAGGGAGGAAAGAAACGGGGGTAATTTCTGTAATGTGGAGGTTGATGAATCCAAAGATGGTATTGATTGCCTCGGCCTCATGGACTTACCACTCTTTAGAGGTCAATGGACATGATCCAACATGAGAACTAACCCTTCATGCTCCCAAACTGACCGCTTCCTTGTATCGTCTTGTCTCCTTCCTAAGCTCTCCAGAGTTATCCAAAAAACTCTCCAGAGACCAACCTCGAACCACTATCCTATCTACTTTTCAGCTGATCGAATTCAATGGGGCCTTGCCCTTTTCCGGTTTGACAATAAATGGTTGAAAAATGACAAGTTTCGTATTATGGTGGAAGATAAATGGAAAGGCACTGTTGTCATGGGTAAGGCCAGTTTCAAAGTTGTCTGGAAATTGATGGTACTAAAAAATGAGATCAAGACACGGACTAAACTGGTAGGAGAACGGGAAGGGAAAGAATTCCAATCCACAATAAATGAAATTAGAGACCTTGATGATAAAGAGGGCTCTATGGGAATCACTGAGGCCGAGAGAGGCCGAAGACAAGAACTGAAGAAGACCTTAGCTAAAATTATTTCGGTGGATGAGGCTGCATGGCAGCAGAAGTCCAGAGAAAAATGGCTGAAGAATGGAGACCGAAATTCCAAGTACTTCCATGCTTTTGCATCCTATAGAAGGAGTTGCAACTATATACCAGAATTGTGGTTTGGTGACAGCAGGGTGAGAGGAAATAGTGATATGAGGGAAGCTGTTAGGCTTTACTTTTCCTAATTATACTCGGAAGTTTGTACCAGCAGACCCAGACTTGATAAGATGCAGTTCTCATGTCTTTCCAGTGAGAGCAGGATGAATCTGGAAGAGGAATTCTCTGAGGAGGAGGTTCATTTGTGTCTAAAGTTGTGCAATGGTAATAAAGCCCTGGGCGCGGATGGTTTCAACATGAAGTTTCTCCAAGAGTTTTGATACATCATCAAGGATGATGTGATGGAGCTTTTTAATGAATCCATGAATTTGGGAAATTTGTGAAAGCAATTAAAACCACATCAATTAAAACCACCTGCCTTGTTCTCATTGCCAAAAAACAGGGAGCCAAGGACATTAAAGAATTTATGCCTATAAATTTGGTGGGGTGCATTTACAAACTTATTGCCAAAGTTTTTGCAAGGCAACTTTCACGGGTTCTTGGTGAGGTTATTAGGGAGTGCCAACATGCTTTCATTGAAGGGAGAATGATCCTTGATGCAATTATGTTGGCTAACAAAATTGTGGATGACTTGGTGTCTAGTAAGAAGGAGGGTTTAATATGATAACTTGATATGGAGAAGGCCTACGATCATATTAGTTGGAATTTCATTGATTATATGTTGGATATAATGGGTTTCAACGGAGATGTTGGATGAAAACGTGTATCTCTTCTACATCCTTTGCTGTTATTTTAAATGGTGGTCCATCCTCTTTCTTTAATGCATCAAGGGGCCTTCAGCAAAGGGATCCTCTCTCTCTCTCCCCTACTGTTTATTATTGCTATGGAGGCACTCAATGGTCTTATGGCAGGAGCTAAAGAACTACAGCTTTTTGAGGGGGTTGAAATCAGAAAAGGAACCTGCTCTATAGAAGTGTCTCACCTATTCTTCGCGGATGATGTGCTTATATTCTACCCTCCGAAGGTAGAAACCCTACTATACTTAAGATGCCTTTTGTTTTGCTTTCAAGCCATCCCGGGCCTCAACATCAATATGAACAAATCAGAAGTGGTGAAGGTTGGTGGTGATGGTAATGGTTCCAGGTTGGCTAGAGTCCTGGGCTGCAAGGCCAGTCAACTCCCTATTAAATACCTGGGGGTCTCCTTGGAAGCCAAATTCAAGGATGTGGGATCTTGAGAACCGGTAATCAATTTATTTGAGAAGAGGCTGGCCAGATGGAAGAAAAACTTTTTGTCTAAGGGAAGCAAGCTCACCTTAATAAAGAGCACGTTCTCTAACCTGCCAGTTTACTTCCTATCTACCCCGACGAAACTGGCTAGCATCGTTAAGAAGCTGGAAACTAGTCAAAGCCGCTTTCTTTGAGGAGATGATGCTTGAAACAGGAAGTACCACTTGGTTAAATAGGGAGGATGTCAAAAAACCATTCAAGCAGGGGTGACTGGCATTAGATCCTTGGTAGACTTGCAGGCAAAATGGTTGTGGAAATTCCCAAAAGATGAGAACAGTATTTGGAGAAGAATTGTTCAGGTGAGGTGGGGCGCCTTGCAGGTTGACTGTGCTGCAAAAATGAAGCCACGGCTTGGGACTATGGAAGAGCGTTTTACTCCAGTGACTGCAGTTCAGGGATTGCATCCGCCGGGATCTCCGCAGTGGTGACAGGATAAAGTTCTGCTTGGATGAATGGATTGATGGAGGAAGCCTCAAAAGTCATTTCCCTAGTATTTTTGCGATTGCTCAAGATAGAAATATGATGATTGGTGAGGCATACAAAATTGTAAATGACAATATCAAGTGGTCAATCAATGTAAACGGAAATTTGAACGATTGGGAATGTGGGGAATATTTAGAATTGCTACAAATCCTGACTGGCCAACAGATTAGCCCTGGGAGGGATCAAGTGAGTTAGAAGTTGGAAAACAATGGTGCCTTTTCTGTAAGACCATTTTACAATCATATTTCTGAAAAGGACAGAAGAGGAATGAGATAATTGCATTCTTTGGCTAGGAAGCTTGTAGGGAATGCATACTCATAATTGATAAATTAAAAATTAGAGGATGGGTGATGGCCAACAGATGTTTTTTATGCAAGAGAGCTGAGGAAACATGCAATCATCTGCTGTTATGGTGGCCGGGGGATTCTGAAATCTCATCCATGGGCCATGGGTTTGGTGGGGGTAAGCTGGGCAGTTGCTGGTTCTGTTCTGGATGAGATTTAGGCCTGGAAAGGACTAGGCTGAAAAAACAATCTTGTGAAGATTGTCCCATTAACTGTATTTTGGATACTTTGAAATGAAAGAAATTCTAAAGCATTTGAGAGTATAGAAATTGGCTTGTATAGATTATAGGAAAAATGGCTCCATTATTTTGGTTTTATTTTGTTTGGTCATGGCATGGCTATATAAATTTTGCGAATGTCATTGACATGCTAACACTTTTGTAAATTTTTTCTACACAGTGGTATCCCTTTTGTTGATACCCGTTAATATAATTTTCACACTGTTACTTTAAAAAAAGAAAAAAAAAATTAAAATGTATTTAAATAGATTTATATTTAAATTAAATTTCGTAAAATAATCTACCACAATTTAAAAAATAAACATAAATTAAATTTTTTTAAAAATAAACTTTCACTGATTATATAATTTTTAAAAATTAAACATAAAATAAATCTAATTAAAAATAAAAATTTATTTGAATTCAAATTAATAACTAAAATAAATTATAATTTTCACATTAATTTTCAACACAAAAGACTTAATTTTCTCACAGAATCATATCTGAAAACTCTACTGTTAAACCACATTGTATTTGTGAAAATAATCACCTGGTCAGCCTGCAAGCATTCAACAGAATTGATAGGACTGGCACTTGTATATCTCTCACTCCTTGTATCTCTCTCAGTGATGACAACAGAATCAAGTGATGCCGGTGAGAGGCTCTCGTTGATTCTAAGAATTGACTGCTGACCGTCTAATGCTGGTTTCACAGATGAGTTCTTGAAAGACGCAGAAGGAAGTGGGCTCTCAACTGACCTCACAGGAAATGAAGCCTGCCAATTAATGGTAATGAACCCAAAAAGTGAATGTTATAAGCAGTCGTCAATTTCAATATCCACCATTGCAAAAAGCAATCAGCGAAATCATAACATTTCGCAGGAACAAAAAGAAAAAAAAAAAGGATAAAATGAGACAAACCATTTGATGAGGAGGAGGTGACTGTCTGTAGGTAGTGCCATCAGGCTCAACAGTCCAGCCAGCCTCACGAGCCAAGGCAGCAAGCACATCATTCATGTCAGCACGAGCCGGGAGTGGAAAATTTCCATACTGCCTTAATCCAGCAAGCATCCTACTGGTGATTGCACGCCGGTGTCGCTCTCTGAGCTTAGTCCTCTCCTTCTCTTTTTCCCTCTCTCTCTTACCCTTGCTGCTGGTGCTGCTATTGCCACTACTATTGTTGTTGCTAGTGGTGGTGATGGTGGGAGTGGTGCTGGTGGTCGGCGCCATGGAGGCCGCAGCAGCCGCCGTGGCTGCGAACCCACGTGGTCGCCGGGTCTGGGGTTGAGGCTGGACAGGGTGAGCTTGAGGAAAATTATCAATGGAGTTCGGCCGAGGTTCAATTGGATCTGCGTTACTGGTCGGCGTGCTGTGAGGATTGAGTTGATTCATTTTAGCGTTACCATTCACTTCGTTCCTGCAACTTTGATATCACCAATACTTGTGATCTTCCCTTGTCTCTGCAACCAAATTTGATTTCCCCTTCTCCGGTTCTGATATGTTCTGTGTTTTCTTCAAGAGCCAGACCGTTAAGAACCGGAATGATTGGTCTCAGTCTAATTCTAGTCCGGTTCAAACCAGTTTCAGCCCGTTTGAATTTATTTATCTTTTGTTAGTTTTTTTTTTTTTTTTTTATATACTACCGTCTAATATAAATGTCGGAGTAAGGCTAAATTAAATTTAGTGAAAAAAATAATTCATACTTAAAAATTATTATAATAATATTCTATAAAACTTGGTGTATCCGCTTAAAATATATTATTACTTTATAATTTATTTATATAATATTTTTAATATAGATATATGCATATAAATATAAATACTTAATTCACTTATTTACTATTTTTTTTTATTTAAATAACATATTATCATTTTTTAAATGAAACTTGAACTTTTAATTTCATTCAAATCGGTCCCTTTTGTATTAGTGTTGAATGCTATTTATTTTTAAGATACATAGTCTATTCAAATTTTATTCACAAAATATTTATATGTGTGTTATATAAGCATCACGTAAAATATAATATATAAAATATATTTTTTATTTTTTATAAATTAATATTTAAATTTTTTTATTTTTATATTTTATTTATCTTCTTATATAAATACATTACATTCGTATTTTTAAAAAAAAATTAAAATATTATAAAAATATTCAGATTCTCATGTATTCATTATTTTATAATGTATGAAGGAATATAATAATATTTTTACAGATATCTAAATGTTAATAAAATTATATAAATATTATTCTATATTTTTAAAATTAATTTGAACTTGATTTGGTTGTAAAATATATATATTTAAAATTTTAATTAAATTATAAATACTTAAAAAAATAAAATCCTAACCTAATTTACCTGCATCCTCTAGCTGATGTTCTTATTTACTCCATTGTGTGAGTCGAGTCTTCTACTACTCAGTAGCAGGCAAGCTCCTCCCCTTTTGGCTCACATAAATGGTTCTTCTTCACTACTCAGTCTTTGGTCTTCCTCCCAAATGAGGGAGTTGATATGATATGTTATACCAAATCAAGGTACACTTATAATATATATGTGTCATTGATTTGGGTCCTGTACGAATATATATATATATATATATATATGTTAATATATGTTTATGTATGTATACACATATCATTACTAATATATGTTTGTTAAATACTCAATTACATAAATATATCAATATACATAGTGGAAATTTCACGAGGTGATAAATAATTTAATTAAAAACACAAAATTTCATGTCAAATCACAAAATTAAATTAAAAAATTGAAACGTATTTGAATCTAATAAAATGTGGAATATTAAGTTTAACCTTAATTTTTGTTATTTTTGATATTAAAGCTATCCTTTAAACAATGTAGAAATTATTTAGAAATACGACTTTAATTTAAACTTTAGAAGATTCCTTATAGAACAATAAAAAATACCTAAATCTGCTAATTAACTTGATAAAATTTATTTCACAAAAAGTCGTCGAGAAAATTTTAGTCATTTAATTACAAAAAAAAAAATTGTACATTATCATATATACCACATATAGTTAAATTAAATATGTGTAAATGAATTAATTAAGTTGAATATTTACTGAATATATCATAAATGTATGTATTAATATTGAACGTACATTGTTATTGTTATTATAATTAATCAATTTCAGTTTCAAAAATCCATTAATGAATTGCATATATATAAATAGTCGGTTCGGTTCTATCGTGATTATCATCGAATATATTAATTATCCAAGTGATCGATAAAGAAGTAATAAAAAGAATGTCAGAATCAGGAAATTACAAGTTGATACAGACAATGTTTATGGTGATTTTAGTGTGTGGTTTAATAGTACCAAAAGCAGAGGGTAAATTTTGGAAGTGGGTAAATGAGAAGATCGACGAGGCAGTTAAGCTTTGGGATGACTTTAAAGTTGCAACCTTTAAGAAGTCTGAGAAAAGGGTATGTATAAATACACTTTGGGGTGAGCCGGTTGCCAATTGTGATTGGGCTTATGATGTTTAATTTAACTTTAAATTTTTAATTTTAAAGCTTTAATGCTTAAATGTAATATGATCACCTAATGTCCTTCGAGTAATGGAGATACATCCATTGATACGAATTGTTTACAACAATTTATATAGTTTTAACCAATAACATTTGTCATTACTTTTATTAATCAATAAAAATTTTTCTTTTTTAATGAAGTTATTAGTATTGAATTAATTCAACATATTCTCTAAATTACTAGTAATTAATTTAACTATGTATGTTTATGGGAGGGAATATCTATTTTTTTTTATACATTTCTTTCTATAATTTATCATCTTCTCGTGATCACCCTATACTCAAACATAGTTAATAATTGCATTTCCACCCCTACTCTATAAATAGATTCTTGTAGCAACCTAAGCTCTAGTGACGAGGCATAGATATACTCACACCATTTTCAACTACTGCAACCAATAAACTAGATAATACAATTTATTATATCCTAGAAGATAACTATGAGATCCTACCCCTATTAATGTGGGTGAGACGTTTGCATTTTATTTTTAACTAGTTGAACCAACAAACGCGATAATATGTGTAGTTCTGATTTAGAAATTAATTATCTATCTTTTATAATATATTGTAATAACATATACAATAATATGAGATTTAAAATATATAATTTAACAAAATAGAATAATACTTTTAGTATAGAGTATCTAGTTTGACTCGGATCTTTACTTGTTCCTCACTAATATGGAGTTTACTCTAGATTTTCGTGATGTATAAAATACCATAATAAATTCATTATGAGTTTCACTTGCTCAGTATATAACATAACATGTTATTATCCACATAACTAAACAATCCAATTTATAGAAAACAAAAACAAAAATGTGCGGACATTTTAAGAAAATAATTTAATTATAAATACAACTGTAAAATTCTTATTAAAATTCTAATATGACAAATTCCTACCATTTTATTTCCACTTAATGCTGCATCATTTGGCTAACTAAATTTTTAATTCTAATTTGACTTTTTGCTAGCAATCTTATCTTCAAATTCTTTCATATCTGGAACAAATAGTTTTTGTTTTATTCATATGTTTAATTCTTACTTCTTTTTCCTTTTCAAATTTTATATTTTGCATCGCACGTCTCTTATCGGATACACATACACAGAACTTATCGGATTCACATACTCTTTGCACATACCTTATCAGATTCACATACCAAGATATGAACAATTTTGCTTTTATTTGTTATAGATATTATTATTTATTACAACTGGTTTATTTATCTTATTTTTTGTAAATGATTTTGCTTACTTGTATACCTTTACGTTTATAGTTCAGATAAGTCGAATTGTTCTTGTTTTCAAGCATGCTATGTGAATTATAGATACTTAATGTTTTGCATGTAATAAAATATAATATGAAGTTGGTATTATTGCCTGGTAAAAATAAAGAATAAAAAGAAAAAAAAAAAGAGAAAAATGGAATGAAGCATGAATGGTCTGAAATATATATATCTGTATTGACATGGATATTGCATCAAATGTCTCGTTTGGCTTTTTATCTCTGAGGAGTATCTCTTCCTCTAACCTTTCGGGGTATCTGTTTCCTCCTACCCCATCTAGTCTGAAAGATGTAAGAGAACCGCTCTTAGTGGATGATGGCATACCCTCCG